TCTAATTCCTTGTTCAGTGCAACCTTCTGCAAGTCTTCTGTCAAGGACTGAGAAGGTGCTCTGCATAGGGACCATATGGTCTTCAGGAAGGATGGCTCTCTCCTCCCACCGCACTGTATATCCTGTGCCTTTTGCCTGTCAGCCTGCTTTATGGTTTCATTAAAATATTCTAATTTTACCAGGCTGAGGCTGCTTTTCATTTCTTCCCCCCCCCTCCTTTTAATCATTAGTAGGAAAGGCAGCAATACTCAATTTCACAGAATCCTTTCTGTGCTTGATTTTCATAACTTAGATATCTCCCCCATAATTATATCTTTTCTTTGGCTCTCTACAGAGTAAAGAAACAGCCAATTTCAAGAAAATTGGAGCAGCGTATTTCTTCCTCGCTCCCTGGCTCTTGACAGTTATCTCCCCGTGTACTTTCTGTTCACTCCTGAGTGAGTTCTCCTACAGCCTTCTCTTTAGGTGGTCTTCAAGTTTGGCTTCATGATCCTGGTTTTTTCAAACCACAGAAGAGACGCTGTGTTTCCTTGGACACTTTGCCTGTGATAGAAGCAAGGTGCCACATTCCTGCTGGTTGATGGTGTCACTTGTTTCTTCATGTGCTGGTTTGTTCCTGCATCTGTGCACTCAGGATTAACTGATCTTTTCGAGGTCAGAGGCCACATTCATCCTGTACCAACCCCAGATCATTGCACTGAAAAGATACCTGGGATACCTCTCATTCATCCAAAATGATGAATGAGAGAGAGAGAGAGACAGAGACAGAGACAGAGATTAAGAGACAGAGAGAGAGAGACAGAAACACAGAGAGAGACAGAGATAGAGAGAGAGAGAGAGATCGATCTCATTAGATAACTAGAGTTAGCTAGGCTCAGAATTCACAGAAGGCCCCTTATGTGACTTTAAGGTGTCTAGGACATGTTTTCAAGAAACCAGTGGCTCTCTGGAGATGATGTATCTGTGCTTTGGGCTGATGGGAGTTGTAAGAAAATTTGAGGTTTCAGTGAGACCAAAATATGAGTGTTGAATTTAGAAAAACACCTATTTCACCAAACACTTCATTACTAAAGAAGAAGTATGGGTTGCCCTGGGTGGTCAGGGGGAGGGATATTTAAGTGTGTAGCAAGGGTCAGTGAAAGCACTGTTGGTATCACAAGCTTGAATGACACGCATACACACGGACATGGAGGCAGAGTGAGTGGTGGGAGGCACAGGGAACAGTGAGCTTTCTAACATCGGGCTGAGGACATGAATGGACATCATTCCAAGGAAGACACACAATAGATTGACAGCAAAGGAAAAGAGAAGAGGCCTGCCTGGACCTAAGCCTCAGTGAAACGTGGCTTCACTCCATAAGATGACTGTTACCACAGAATGGGAAAACGAGTGTTGGTGAGAAAAAAAAAAAAAAAAAAACAAAAACCCAGAACCATGCTGAAGGGTTAAGTGGTGTATTGCTGTGGGAAATGCTCTGATGATCCCTCAAAAAGCAAATGCAGAGTAAATGTATGATGCAGACATTTTACCGTCTGCATGCCCAAAGACAGAAGTGAGGCAGTGACATTCTCATGCTTCTGTTGACAGCAGCATTATTCACTAGACCCACCGGGTGGGAAGAAGCCTCATGCATCACAAGCAGCCAGGCCACACAGTGGAGTGCTACTCAAACTTACAAAGGAAGGCGAGCTGGTGCAACCCGTGGCAGGTTGAACCTCAAGCATTTTGATGAATGAAATAAGGCAATCACAGAAGGACTGATTACCCAAGGCCCCTAGAGGGGTCATCTACATCGAGTGAATGCGGAAAGGCTGGCTGCCGGGAATCAGGATAGCGGCTGGTGGGAAGTGGAGGTGGGAAGGCAGTGTGCAGAGGGTACAGAGGTTTCTTTTGGAGGACGAGGAGGGCTCTGCAGATGTCTGGTGGTGACCATGTGTCAATAGAGTGACATGCAATAGGAGGAACCTGTGCCCTGCAAGAACTAAAACAGTGATGTTCATAGGAACCTTTTCTCTCAGTAAATCATCCTTTGCCTCAAAGGTTTGTTGTCATTGTCATTGTTTGTTTCCAAATAAATCGGTCTTTAAAGTTCAAAAATAAATAAAAGAAATGGTATGCATGCTCATTTCTTCCAGTTCTAAGCCTTGTTGCCAGTGGGTTAGATTGCACAGTGGGAAAAGAATTTATTTATTGTGTTTTCTTCTTGATTCTTCATGAGAGCCTAAGGAGGTCAGTATTAGTTACTATCAGTCACTGTTTAATGGTTGGTGGGATGAGGCTGAAAATGGCAAGCTGAGGTGCTGTTCCCCAGATTCATAGTGTCAAAGACTATATCACTGGTAAACCTACCATCTCTCCTTTTGCCCTGCGAGGCTGTATAGACTCTGCCAACTGCCTGTCCTCAACATGTCCTCTCTCTGATAGGAGGTACATGGAAGCAGCTTCTTTTGATTTCTGAAAAGCCTAATAGCTATGTCTGCTTCCTCGTTGCAAGAAGTGGGTCAGCAGAAGGAGTGCGGGCCCAATACATCTTGCTGAGTGACTGTGGACTCTGAGGGAAGACGACCATGCTGGCTAGTTTTATGTTGATTTGATACAAGTTACAGTCACTAGAGAGGACAGAACCTCAATTGAGAAAATGCCTCAATAAGATGGCTATAGGCAGGCCTGTAGAGCATTTTCTTAATCAGTAATTGATGTGGAAGGGCCCCTGCCTAGCTGTGTATGGGACCACCCCTGGGTAGGTGGACCTGGGTTCTATAAGAAAGCAGATTGGGCAAGCCATGGGGAGCAAGCCAGTAAGCAGCACCCTCCCATGACCTCTGCATCTGCTCCTGCCTGCAGGGTCCTGCCCTGTTTAAGTCCCTGTCCTGACTTCCTTTACTGATGGTCTGTATTGTGGAAACACATGCCAAATAAACCATTTCTTCCTCAAGTTGCTTTGGTCATAGCAATAGTAATCCTAACGAAGATGAGGGCTAAATGTAGGCACCTTTGTCTAGCCTCTTGGAAACATGGCTTCCTGTCACACTGGCTAGGGGAGAGTGAGCACTAACTCCAGTGTCTTCATGCATGTGTGGAGGCTCCAACACAGCCGTGCCAGTGCTGAGCTCACACCCAGTGCCCAGCTTCTGTTTTCATTGCTGCTTCTGGAAAGTGCTTCCGGAGGGCGGTTAGTGTCCAGTATGCTAGGAGCCTTCAATGTTGTTCTTTGACATGGAGTGGACACGCATCAGGGACATTATTGGCCTTGTATCCCATCATTCACCTCCTTGGTGAGGTGGAACCATCCTGTTATATTCTGGTCTGTCTCCTGTGCTTTTGGTCTTGTGTCTGGGAGACAGAAAGATTTGCCTCCATGCTTTCCTTGAACAGTTCTATCTGCAAAGTTCATTATTAAGAAGTGTGTGTGTATTTGAGTGTAGGTGTCCCAGAACTCCAGAGTAGGATGTTAGATTTCCCTGGAGCTGGATTTACAGGTAGATGTGAGTCACCAGACATGGGTGCTGGGAGCAGAACTTAAATCCTCTGGAAGAGCAGTCTGGGCTCTTAACTGCTCAGCCATCTCTCTAGCCCTTACTATCTTTCTCAGCCTTCTCTCTTTCCATTTTGTTTTGACTTATTCCCTGTAAGAAATACAGTGCAGTCCTTTGCTCCCAGCCCGACAGAATCAGATGGCAGCTAGATTTGCCCCGTGGGTCCCTGTTGTCAACACCTGTTTGAGGACACTGCTGTGGAAGCTTCCATGATTTTAGTCAGGAGTTAGCTGGGCCAAGATTTCTTGTTACCATGGCTACTCCCTGTGTCCCACAGGCTATAGAACCCTGCAAAGTTGCCTTGTACTGAGCAGGGGGGTGGAGGGGTGTCATGTGGGAGGTACCAGCTTTTCTATGATACGTGTCATCTGTCCTCAATAGCCCTCTGCCTGTGTGCAGGGCTATAGGCCTGCTCCAGCTGTTCCTCCTGAGGGGTCCTGGAGGACTTGGAGGTTAGTGTCACAGTCCTGTGGGATTTATCCCTTATGGTCATCCCTCTCCAGTCCAGTCAGATGCAGTCCACCTAGGTCTGGCCTACAGGTCCTTAGTACTTTTTCCTTTTGCACTATAGCCACCCACTGTCCAGTGCTATGGCAGGGGTTAGGCATGAATCTTCTCCGTGATACAGCAGCACTGTACTTTCTAACAATGGTGGGCGTGGGAGGCCTTGCTCAGCATTCCTAAGAATAGAGCCCTGCCTCTCTGGACCTTGTTAGTGTACCTGTATCTTGAACCCCCTCTTCCCAAGTGCTCTTGGTCTGGGCTGCTCTCCCACAGCATACAAAGATCTCATCTCAAAGGAAAGGAGGGTCAGGTCTGGCTGGATAGGGCTGGGGCTGGAGTTTCAGTGTCTCATCTCCCCTGTGTGGTGGCTGTATGCCTCTTGCATGTTTGTATCATCAAGCAGCAGGGTCTACTCTCCTCCTTTCCCATCATCCTTTGTAAGAGACATCAGTAGGAAAGGTCCTGGGAAAGAGCCTAGAAAGGGAGGGTGTGGCACCCCATTGGCAGCCCATTTTAGCTTTAGCCACCCGCCATCTTTGTACTGATGCTTCCTTGCCCATTTGGATGCCACCTGCCACCTCTTATCCATGCCCTGCTTCTGGCACAGTGGCACCACCCCTGTCCTGGAAGGGCCTATGTGCACTGTCAGTCTGGGAGTGGAAGTTGCCTTCTACTCCCTGCATGGAAGCTGCCCTTCCCTGCCTTCTGTTGATACACAGTCACTGTGTTTTCTCTGTTCAGATTGAAGCCCCGTCTGCTCACATGTACAGCTGAGGACTCTTGAGACTTTTGGTACCACAGGAGAAATGGTGCCAGGTGCACAGTATGAGCTGGGATAGTTGCATGATCCCGTCATGTGGGAGTGTCTTGAGACTCTCCCTAGGTGCAGCCTGCCTGCCTCCTGGCATGGCACCTCGTCCACTTGTGGGTACTTATTTGGTATTTGTGTTAACTTTTTAGACTCTGGAAGCTGTCCTGAACTTCAAGTACTCCGGAGGCCCGGGACACGTGGAAGGGTATTACAGGAACCTCTCTCTGGGGCTGCATGTGGAAGTGGAGCCATCAGTGTTTTTCACCAGAGTCAGCACACTTCCGGCAACCAGGTAACCAGGCTGGGGAGGGAGTGGAGGCTCATGAGACCGATCACCCTGTCTCACTGCAAAGCAGACCCATGCCTTTGGCAGGGCAATGGCCCTTGGTGTTAGTGCACAGGAGGAATGGGCTAGATGCTGTGCTGACAATCCCCGTGGGGCCCTCCCAGCGCAGGTGCTGTTTTCAGTCTGACTTTCCCTCCTCCTTCTTTTCTTTCTCTTTTTCCCATTTATTTATTAATTTAATCTCTTTATAGCCTGATCCCAGTCCCTTTCCTCCTCTCTTCCCAGTCCTGCCCTTATACCCTCTTCCCCCATTTTCCCCTCTTTTCCTCAGAGAAGGCAAGCCCCCCCCCCAAGGTGTATCAACCCAAGCAATTCTACTAAAATCAGGGTAAGAAAAGGCTGCCCACTCTCTGTATCTCTTTAACATAGTACTTGAAGTCCTAGCTAGAGCAATAAGACAACTAAAGGAGATCAAGGGAAAAGAAGTCAAAGTACCATTATTCACAGATGATATGATACTATATATAAATGACCCCCAAAATTCTACTAGAGAACTCCTACAGTGGATAAATACCCTCAACAAAGAGGCTGGATACAAAATTAACTAAAACAAAAACAAAAACAAAATCAGTAGCCCTTCTTTATACAAACAATACAAATAGTAAATGGGCTGAGAAAGAAATCAGGGAAACAACACCCTTCACAATAGCCACAAATAATATAAATTATCTTGGTGTAACTCTAACCAAGCAAGTGAAAGACTTATATGACAAAAACTTTTAAGTCTTTGAAGAAAGAAACTAAGGAAGATATCAGAAGATGGAAAGATGTCCCATGTTCATGGATTGGTAGGATTAACAAAGTGAATCCAATGTTTTGGCCGTTTTACCAAAAGCAATCTATAGGTTCAATGAAATTACCATCAAAATTCCAACACAATTTTTAACAGACCTTAAGGAGCTATCCTCAATTTCATATAGAAAAATAGAAAACCTAGTATAGCTAAAAACAAGTTTGTACAATAAAAGAACTCTTGGAACTGTCACCATCCCTGATTTCAAGCTGTACTACAGAGCAACAGTAATAAAAACTGCATGGTTCTGACATAAAAACAGAAAGATTGATCAACAGAATCAAATCGAAGACCCAGAAATAAACCGACAGACTGCCCCTTCTTAAATGGGGACTCTGCATAGAGTTTTGCTTGTGTTTGGAACTCCCTGAGGACCCGAGCCTTATTTTCTGTGATGCATCTGTGGCTGGTGAGATGAAAGTGTTGTCTCAGGCCTCACTGTCCAGCACCATGAGGACCTTCTAGCTCAGCATGATGCCAGCTCATTCTGGACAGGCTATCTTTCCCCCAGGGTAGTCCTCTCTGCTTCCCATCTCTCCAGTCCTGATCTTCCTGGGGGGGGGGGCAGGGGGAAGGGTGGGCCTGTCTACTTCAGGGTCACACATAGTGAGAAGGGCCATTAGTTTTCTTTGAGGTGGAAGGCGTCAGTTCCTCATCTCACACTCAGACTCTAGACGTGGCATCAATGCTTCTCAGGACAGTTTAGAGGCCTGCTCAAACATGTGGAGCCCCCTAGAGAGTGTGTCCACACCTCCACTGTACTCCACCAGCTTGCCAGGCTCAGCCATGCTTGACATATTTGTAGGGACAGTGGGCCAGGTCAGGATTGTGCATGTTTAATGGAGCGAAAAAGCAGTCCTGACTAACACTTACCTGTCTGTCTTTGGATCTTACAGATAGCACCCTGGCCTGTACTATTTATTCCTCCCATTTATTCTATAGGGTAAAAGAGAGGTTTGGTGTCCATCATGATGCTGGCAGAAAAATCCATTTAAACGGATCTAGCTTACTTTCCCCCCAGCCACTGGAGAAAGGTTTTAGCAAGGATTAATGGCTTACCTGGGCCTTTTAGCATCCCTTTTTTATCATCTATCACTTTGTTGGTCCTCACTGCCAAGGTGGCTTCTGTTTGAATTTGTAGAAAGCTCTAAAGCTCCTACCCCCAGGGCAGGTTTGGCTAACGTGCTGACAGCTGGTGTTAGGGTGAGCCAAGCCTTCCACACATGGCTCTGCTGCGCCATGTCTGCTTTTCCTGCCCCTTCCCTTCTGCTGCCACTGCCTACCAAGACTTCTCAGATGTGGCACAGGTTGCCACGAATTCCCTTTGTGCCTCATCATGGCCTCTGTAGCTATAAATTGTAACTTAAGGTTGAAATGAACTTGGAAGCTTTGGCTGTTGGCTGAAGCACCCCTTTGGTGTTTGTTATCAGCTAGTGGCCTTCATGTTCTCTTCTTTTGGCCTGTGTATTTCTCTTCCCAGCTCCTGGGTTTGAGAGTTCACACTGATCATCCTTTTCCATTATCCTCAAGTCTAACAAAACCCTGGGATGGGATTCCACTATCTCTGGATCACTCTGGCCCCTGAGTATCGTTATCCCCATGGAGAGTTAACCATTTGGCCCCTTCACTCCATTCTGCTTGTCCCCAGGTCCTATCTAACTTGCAGACAGATCCATTGCTGAAGAGTCTACGTTCAGACTCCCTCCTTCTCTGTTCAGGACAGATGTCCCTCTCCCTTCCTTCTCCCTATGTTCCTACCTGTAGACAGTGGTTTTGGCTACTTTATTGGGTTCTTATATCTACCATCCTTCTCCCCCCAATCCCTTCCAACCTCCCAACACTAGGTAGGAGAGAAAGAAGGTTATAGGAGAAAGGGGATATAGATCTCTTTAAAGCTGAATCAGGGTTATCAGGTTTCTAGGGGGCAAATCCAATCTTCTTCATCAGAATATCCAGCAAACCAATCCAGCAATAGCAAATGCAGCATCAGGGACCACAGCAGCCTCGACAGGCTCTCTCAGGACCCTCCCACTTACACCCTCTCAAGAGCTCTTAGAATGAAAGTATCTGCAGTTAGCAAAAATCAAGCCCCTGCCAGAGCACGAGACACATCACAGTTAGCTGCTGTGAACAGTCTGAAGCAGCCCCATAACACACACCTGGGATGAAAGTGAAAACATATTTACATAACATTTCTTTGGTTTTTAAGGAAACCAAAATGCTCACTACATCTACCAAGTTCTGTAATAACCTCTCAGACTCGTGCAGCCTGAACCTGTGTCAAGGCAGGTCACTCCTAGCGGTTTCCACCATATTTTTTCCCTAAACATGTTCTTTTTCCTTTGGGGGAAAAAATCTACTTGCCTTTCAGATCTATGCTTAAATTCCTGTAGATTTTCCTATCAGGAGAGAGAAAGGGGAAGGGGAGAGGGAAAAGGAAAGAGAAGGAGAGGGAGAGGAAGAGAGAGAGAGAGAGGGAGAGAGAGAGAGAGAGAGAGAGAGAGAGAGAGAGAGATTCTCTCTGTGTGAGTCCCACGCTTTCCTCACTTCTCTAACACATGTGTCAGATCCTTGGGATCACTTCTGCCCTGTTTGCAGCCAGCAACCCTGAATGCCAGGTGCACTGTACATTCTCCCTGGGAAAAAGGGGGGGCAGCAAGAACATCATCTTGCTTTTCACCCTGACAGGAGCTTGTCACACAGAATTAGCATGGAATGGGAACAGGAATTTGCACACAGGAGCTATGGAACCATAGAACATCAGATAAGTGAATAAATAGAAAAGACCTGAGCAACCTCCCTCCCCCCGGGCTGGGAGTGGGAAAGAAGAGAAAAGAACAAGGAGTGAGTGGCTGAAAGGCAGACAAGCAGTACAGATGAACGTGCTGTGTCTCCAGTGCAGACAGAGTCAGCATTTGAAAGTGGAGCTTTTCAAACTCTGCAAGGCAGCAGGTGCTAACTGTATGCTTTTTGGAAGAAGCTAGCATCAAATGAGCATGGTATATGTTAACACTGATATTTAGAAGGTTGATATGGACTTATTTATATTAAACATGTGGGCTTTCAAGAGAAAGAGATAGGAAAAAGTATAGTGATTGAAGAATTGAGTTTTCAATAGCACATTAGAGTCCTAAATATACATCTGACAACACAATTTCAAAATAAAACCAGTACACAAAGGGGAAAAACAGATAATAACATGGTACAGCTGACTGTATAAACATTATTCCCTGAGAATCTGATATGACAAGTAGACAAAACAAAACAAAACAAACCTCACAGGGAAACTGTAGCCAACCTAGACATTTTTTTTCAAACCAGCCCCACCTAATTGTATTTCTGGAAGAGTGAATGCTTATACTAGAAATGGATAGTTTGACGTCATCGATGCAGTGCCTGAAACACAAAGAAGAGTTCAATACTCCCAGAATGAACAGAAAAAATCACAGAGAAGAATGTATGTCAGTAAAATGGGGTATGAAAGAGGATCTGTGGATTCAACAGAACCAAAAGTTGATACTTTAAAACAGATTAACAATAAAATTAACCATAACTAGGGCAATGAGGGGAAACCCCCACAAATTGCAAGCAGAAGGAATGAAAGATGTGGCATTCTGTGGTTTTTGTACTTGCTCTAAGTTAGAAATGCAAGAGAATGCTGTAGAGGGCCATATCCCACTGAGTGTGACTGCTTTGGCAAAATGGATCGGTGTTTTGAAGGAGGAAAGCGGACAAAGTACAAAAACTGACACAAGAAGAATGGAGCACTTGAATAGACACTGGCCAATTAGAAAGTTCCCAAGAAGCATTCCGTGGGCCCAGGTGGCTTCTGCAGGAAGTAGCTCAAGCTTTTAAGAAAGCAAGCACTATGCCCTTAAGGAAGCTCATTTAGAGAGCAGGCAGGGAGGAGTTCCTGCTGACTCCAACCTCAAAGAAGACAGCAGAGGAGCTGCCTGACTTGGGGCCAGAGGTTTCTTAGATGGGCTCAGAAGTTGCTCACTGTGAAATAAAATGTTGCTAGATAATTTCCTGAAAACTGAGACCTTATGCTTGGGCTGGCCAGATGGGGAAAAGCTTTTGCTATGGAGGCCAGGTGACTAAATTTGATCCTTGGAATCCAGGTAAAATGCTGGATGCTTCAAATCACATGTGT